GTGTGAGGCTCATTCTAATAATGTTAGTTGTTATTATGACTTACCTAAATGTTAATTTATTCGTATTGCATGGGTCTATACAACGATGGCCATGACTCTTAAGGTTTTTCAGTCATAATCTCTATTTCACTCATTATAATCACTTTATAAAACACGACACTACAATAAATATGTCACGTCGTTCATACAGATGCAAGATTTTTCTGAAGTCATTGCTGCCAAATATCAACGCTGACTTCTCAGCAGTTCAGAGCAGTTACCACTATGGGCGGAAGGAACACCACGCAGGTGGCAGACTTCATCCTTCTGGGGCTGACGGGCTCCCCGGAGGTGCAGCTGGTCCTCTTCCTGCTGTTCCTGCTGATGTACCTGCTCACAGTGCTGGGGAACGCAGGCATGTTCCTGGCGATCCGCCTGGACGTTCGGCTTCACACCCCCATGTATTTCTTCCTCAGTCACTTGTCCTTTCTCGACCTCATTTACTCAACTGTCATCACACCTAAAACCTTGGAGAACTTACTGGCTTCCACCAAGTATATTTCCTACCTGAGCTGCCTCACCCAGATGTACTTTTTTGTCTTCTTGGTTGCCACTGAATGTATTCTTCTCTCCTCAATGGCCTATGATCGCTATGTAGCCATCTGCAACCCCCTTCACTACCCTGTCATTATGTCCACAAGGCTCTGCTGTTCCCTCATCTTGGGGTCCTACTTCATTGGATTTATGAATGCCACTGTCAATGTGCTTTTTGTGAGCAGGTTGCATTTCTGTGACTCCAATGTAATCCATCACTTTTTCTGTGATACATCCCCAATATTAGCCCTGTCTTGCACTGACACACATGACATTGAAATCATGATATTTATTGTTGCTGGTTCCACTCTAACGGTGTCTCTTACCACAATATGTGTGTCTTACGTGTCCATTCTGTCTACTATCCTGACAATTACTTCCACTTCAGGGAAGCGGAAAGCCTTCTCTACTTGTGCGTCCCATCTCCTGGGAGTCACCATCTTTTATGGGACTACAATGTTCACTTATTTAAAACCAAGTAAGTCCTACTCTTTGGGAAAGGATCAAGTAGCTTCTGTGTTTTACACAATCGTGATCCCCATGCTGAACCCACTCATTTACAGTCTTAGGAACAAAGAAGTAAAAAATGCTCTCATTAGAATCATGCAGAAGAGACAGGACACCAGGCCATTAAAATAACAGTGATGCTAACTTTTAGGAATTTTTTCTTCCCTTTGATGTACTTCCTTATTCTCTCTCAATAACAATTGAATCCCTTAATTCGTATTGATTTCTGTTGTATCTTCCTGTAGCTGACTAAATAAGATCTTGGGCATTTCCAGGAATATGTCTTTACAAATGTACTTGTAATAGGAAACCGTGAAATAAGTGTTAAATGTATCACCTAAATATATGTGTTTTTAAGGGCAACTGATGTTCAAAGTAAGAATATTAATTGTCATGTCCTCAAGTATATTATACAATGTCTCACAAATATTCTAACTCCAGAGAATTTTATTAAGCAAAGACGATTAATTTTTGGCACAATAATAAAAGCTTCAAATTTTTCATTTTTTTAATATAGAGAAGAAATAGCAGAGTGATGACAAGCACTTGCTTTGGATCCAAACATTCCAAGATTTAGATTCTAGATTTGCTACATTTTTAGCTGTATAAACCTTAATAACTCCTGAAATTTAAGCCTCAGTTTTCTCAACTGTACAAAAGAAATAGTAATTCCAGGTCCACAGAGTTATTTTAAAGATTACATTGAGTAATGGATGTAAACCAATGTAGGAAATACTAATAAATACTGGCCATGATCATTAGAAGACTTACATTCCTACAGAATTATTAATGCACAATGATTTTTCTTAAAGATTATTCACTTGCATTTTGTGAATTTTATTTGGTTAATATAATTGACAAATGCACAACAGCTAAGGAAAATACAACACTTCATAATTTTGGATTTAGAATGGTATGTGTTAGCATGGAGAGATTTGGAAAATATTGAAAAATTAGAGAAATAGAAATGCCTTCTAAGTTATTTGCATTTGCCCTGTAATTTCTCTGTTAACAGTAGTATCTTTTATCATGTAAGATGTAGTCTGATATAATTTAAGAAATATTGTCCATGTTTACGGTGCAAAGCCAAAATGCTGTTTCATGTAAATGTGGAATAAATTAAGATTAGAAAAGTGCATGGATAAAATATGAACAGCTGTGGTTGCAACCCAATACTTCATAGATATGGTATTACCATTTTTTGTAGAGAGCTTACCAAGAGCCAGGCAATATTTGAAGGGCTTTAGCTATATAACTAACATAGTTTATCATCACACGACAACTTTCAGGTAGTACTCGCAATATCTAAACTTCCATCTCACATCATGGAGAGTGATCTTCGTCCTTGTTTAGACAAAGATTTAAGTATGATCCTGGAATTCTGCTTTTATCACAGACGCCTCACATCCAGCCAATCGGCATGCTATGCTAAACACAAATCTGTTCGGTGTCTGACTACTTTTCAGCTCTTTCTCTGCTGCCACCCTGGCCCTGGATCCGTCATCTCAGTCTTAGAATTAGCGCTGCAGTTTCCTAGCTTGTCTCTCTGTGTGACCTTGTCCCTCTGACTCTGATCTCAGTGTAAGAGCCAGACTGACACTGCCACGCAGTGTGATGGGGCCTGTCGCTCTTCACATATCCTACAAGGCTTCTCAAGACACTCAGAGTAAAAGCCATACCTTTACAAGAGCCCCCTGGTCCGAAGTGATCTCACCACTGCCCCTGAGCCCTAATAACTCATTCCTTAGTGTTCTGTCTGCCTCACTTTGCTTCACCACTTGGCCCCTGAACGCTTTTGTACACATTAGAGCAGATACAGCCTGAGGTTTTCCACTTTCTCTTCTTCATCCTAAACCTTCCTTTTTTTAGGATAACTGCATGCTGATTTTTCTTATTTTCTTCTGAGAACATTCCTTATCTCCTTATTTAATACTGTACCTATCTCATGTCTTTTCAACATTTGTTTCCGTTTACAGGCACTTCCACCTAACATTTTGAGTATTTAGCTGCATCTTTGTTTCTTCTCTGCCCCTGCTTCCCATCTTGTGAGCTCTGTGGACACAGGATTTTAACTTTCACTAATGTTATATCCCCAGCACCTGGTACAGTGTCTCAATAAATGTATATGAAGGATGAATTTTACTGTTGATGAAAGCAGGGCACAGAGAGATTCATTAACTGATTCCCGGTCCCTCCACCAGTTTGTCTTACTGATGACTTTAAAAGAGTAATTGAATATTTTTAGTAGATAAAGGATCACTCTGGCCATCCTTACCTCACCAATTTGAATAACTGATTTGAATGGTAGAAACCTAATATTCTGGAATACCTGAAAAACTAAGAGTTTTGTTGTAGATGTATATTTAGAAACACTTTTGATGAAGATTTTTATTTCTAACAGAAAATTCTTCCCCAGTAGTCATACACATCAAAGCACATTTGAGATCTTGTGGCTTAGAAACCTTGATTTTTTTATAACATAAAATATGGTCTACTACATGAGCAGTTATGTGCATCTGAAAATAAGTTTCTCTTTTTTAGATGAAATTTACATATACATTCTGGTATCAAACATTTTCTTTTTCTAATACACAAGTGAAATACAAGTTATACAGACTAATGGCAGTATGTGCATAACTGAATATTGAATATAGATCAGTCTAAACATGTCAGAGGTATGAATATGATACAACTTATCTATACTTTGTAAAATGCTGCATTGAGGGAGTGATTAATGATTTATTGCATGATATGTATAAAAAGCACTAATTAAAACCAAGGCAGGTGCACCCCCGTGTTTATCACAGCACTATTTACAATAGCCAAGAAATGGAAGCAACCTAAGTGTCCATCAGTAGATGAATGGATAAAGAAGATGTGATCTATATACACAGTGGAATATTATTCAGCCATAAGAAAACAAATCTTACCATTCGCAACAACATGGATGGAGCTAGAGGGTATTATGCTCAGTGAAATAAGCCAGGCAGAGAAAGACATGTACCAAATGATTTTACTCATCTGTGGAGTGTAAGAACAAAGAAAAACTGAAGGACCCAAACAGCAGCAGAATCACAGAACCCAAGAATGGACTAATAGTTACCAAAGGGAAAGGGACTGAGGAGGATGGGTGGGAAGGGAGGGCTAAGGGCAGGGAAAAAGAAAGGGGTCATTACGATTAGCATGTATAATGTGTAGGGGGGCACGGGGAGGGCTGTGCAACACAGAGAAGACAAGTAGTGATTCTACAGCATCTTACTATGCTGATGGACAGTGACAATAATGGAGTTTGTGGAGGTACTTGGTGAAGGGGGTAGCCTAGTAAACATAATGTTCTTCATGTAATTGTAGATTAATGATAACAACAACAACAACAACAACAAAAAAAAGGCATTTCCTTTTCTGGATATGACCATTGAAAAATAAACTGACACCCAACATTCTTTTCCGTTTCATTCAATGCTAAAATTTTACCTTCTTAAACAATAATTTCCTTTAAAATATTTTTCATTGCATCCTTTAATCTTTGTTCCTGAGAATGTAGGGTTGTGGATACAGGAAGCAAAATTTTGAGCCCATCCCTAGGAGTAATAGTGAGAGGTGCCTGCTTCTCTTCAGTAATTACCCCAAATAAGTTTGATGATTTTGTGTCAAAGAATCAAGCGTGGAGGGTGTGGAGCCACAAATCCACAAGGACCAATAAAACCAAAGCCAAATTTCCCTGCATAATATGGAGGTAGATTGCTAAAAACAGGAAGAGCAGGATTATCTGCAATTCATGCTTGTCTGTAAACCCTTCACTATAAATACAGTGAGCAGAGTCAGCCTGCATGTTGACAGCTCAGGGGTACAACTGAAGATAGTCATAAAATTGTAAAACATATACATATGAAAGAAATGCACAAAATTGCTGACCACTTCACTGCAAAGGTCGCATGACCCCCACATTCTGCCTCATCCTGGTCACTGCTTCCTACCTCCTAGGTTGCGCCAACTCCCTCACTCACCTGAGCAGCTTGCTCGGACTGTCTTTCTGTGGGCCCAACATCATTAATCATTTTTTCTGTGATACCCCATTACTTTTTCAACATTTTTGGTCTGATACCCAATCCAATCAGATATTATTTATTGTCCTTTCTGGAATGACATCAGTGACCACCTTCCTGATAGTGGTGATTTCCTATCTTGGAATCCTTCTCACTATCCTGAAGATACAGTCTAGGAGGAGCAGATATAAAGCCTTCTCACCTGTCCTTCCACCTGACCACAGTGACTCTCTTCTACAGGACAGTGATATTTATTTACCTGGGAACCAGCTCTACCTACCCACATTGTAGAGACAAAATCTTGTCGGAGTTTTACACCCTTTCACTGCTAATATTAAATCTTGTGATGCATAGTTTGAGAAACACAGAGGCCAAAGAAGTAGTGAAAAAAATTATTGTGAGAAAGATAGTTGCTCAGTGGTCATGAATTTTCAAGCAGGAACATTTAAGGAATATTTATTGATTTTACTGGCATTTACACTGTTAAGTGCCTGTGAACTTGTGGGAGAAGAAAAGAATGTATTTTCTGGGCAGTATATGTGCAAAGATATATTTATCATTGGCTTTTGGAAATACACACACATATATGACATGCATTTTGTGTGTGTGGGGGGGCTATGTGTGTGTGCTTATACAAAGACATACATATGCAATGCATTCTGTGAGGAAAGAAGACATTTCTTCTACCATCTTCGGTTTACTGTCAAAAGACAAATGAAAGGAAGAGATTTCCGTATGTGAACAAGTAAACCAGCTTGCTCTGTATTTAGAGATGAGGTATATATGCTTCACTGAAGAGGGGTAAGGGAAGGGAGAAAAGGCTTCTATAGGGTAAACAAATGGGCTTTTAAGGGAACTAATGGGGGATAAGAAGTTTTGTGATCCCATTTGGTATGGTGGGGCAACTGATCTCTGTCTCCTTCCTCCAACACCCCCAGAGAGAATGTTTATGGCAGGTTCGCTCTCAGAACTTTCCACTTTCCATTGGATAAGGGAAACTGGAAAACCCTCTTTTGGCCTCAGTTGATTTCCAAGTTTAAGATAGTCTTATGCCACTGTGTCATTTGGATCCCTCCAATTCTCAAATGAGTATTTTGAATTTCTACTAACTGCCTATTAATAAACTTTCACCACCTTCTACACATTGATTAGTTATGCAATACCGTCTTCAGTTTTGATGAGGAATGTAGAACAATAGGTGACAATCACACACACATACATACAGAAACACACCCACACTCAGAATGCACACACATAGGCAATTCAAGAAGAAACAGTTACAGAGGGTGAGTCAATCTTTCTTCCCCTCTAGTAGGGCTAACCCAAATTACAGATGAGCAAATAAAAGATCAATAGAGTTAAAAGGTTACCCAAGATCAGATGACATTAACATTTGAGAGGTAGAATTTAAACACACATATATTCATATACTTGTACACAGGCCTTCTCCCATTTTACATAAATAGAATTTCCTGTATGTATATTGGATGCCATCCAATTTGTCTAGAACTATTAAGATTTGGATTTCAACTTTAAAAGAATTCCACAGGCACAGAGAGCTTTTCCTTAAAACAATTCAATTTTTGTCAGTTTAACAGAAACACCAAAATAGCAATGTAAATATATCTTCCATTGTATCAGCGAACACTGGAATTCACTAAAAATCAGTGTTGGGAAAATTCCGTAAAACAGTTAAGCCATTTGACAGTACTAATAGGTTTTTTTAAATAAAATGACCATTATAACCCTATATTGCTTATATTCATCATTCCATATAGTTTTTATTGTTCTCCTTAGTCTACCAGGCATAAAAAAATTCAGTCCAGTGCCACTGTTACCACTGTAATTGTTAAGAAAGCAAACACAGCTTTTGCTCATGACACTTTTGCTCTGTGTAGTGAACAATGGTTTTGAGTGTGTGAAAGAATGTTCATACCTACAAAAGGAATAATATTTAGTTCACAGCAATAGATCTCATCTATTAAAATCTAGGTCTATAGACATTTTTCTTACTGCTTGATGGTTAAAGTTATGTAAACATGTAACAAATGCGTCAAGGTAAATTTTATTTTGTTGTTTCTAGGCAGCCCGTATTTTCATTTTCTCCCAGAATAATCCCAGTGCCAAATATTTTGACTGCATATCACCCTAACAGCACTGCATTTTTGAAAATGTAAGTAATTACTGTTATTGTTATAACCAGGATTTCAAAAGAAAACTCTCACCTAATGAAGGAGTCCCTAGGACATGGAAAGCAGCTTTCTGAATATCTCATAATCACGGACTAAAATTTACTTCCACACTAGGCCTGCCAACCCATTGCTCCCCTCTCTCTCTCATTGCTCAACCACTCTCTCCCTCTCGCTCTCCTGGATGGTTCTACCCACTGTTTTATCTTTCCTTCTTTTCTGACTCATGAAAGAAATGGCTCTTTTATCTTTTATGAATAAACGATCTTCATTTTGTTTTGTCTTGTTTATAATTCATTAATGTTACCTAAGTTCTATCTTTTTGGTTCCCCTATTTTATTAGATTTGTGGAGGAGGAAAAAATATTTTCATTTTGCCCTTCTAGGTTCTAGGCTGAGTCCCTCCAGTAATAAAAGACACACAGAAATTTTGTAAAACGTATGGCTTCTTTACACATGGGAGAGTCCAGGAAAAGTGAGCCACTCATCCTTACTCTCTTTCTTGGATTATTCTAGCCATGTTTTCTCTATCTTTCAAGTTAGCTCCTCCCTGAAATGGCCCAGACAGAACCTTAAATACCACTTCCAGCTAAAGACGAAAGAAGCTGTTAACAGATGGGGTGCAGTTATGAAAGGTTACCAGAAAAACCAAAGGAAACAAAGGTAAGGCTGTTATGCAGATATAAGCCCCTGCATTCTCTCTCCCATGGATAAATTTCTAGAGATTTAGTCAGCCTTCTCTCACAGGCAAGGAAAGGGAGATAACCTTACAAATGAACATTTCCCTTACAGATATATTGTACTTAAAATTATATTATATTTTCTCTAATATATTTATATTTCATAATATCAATATGTCTATAGCTCCTTCTCTGGGAAGTGCAATTTTTTACTCGTTTTTAGGCTATTTTTGAATAGTTTATCTTCCCATACCTCCACCACCATATTTTGAAAGGCATATAGCCTGTGCAAACTCCTACTATATACTACACTGCTCTCTGGAATGCATTTCTCAATGGACCTCTAACTTCTGAGAAACAGCATAAGTGCAAATCTGACTCTACCTGATATCAAGAAGCCAGTTTCATTCAATTTATTTCATTTTCACTAATTTGCTTCTTCAGGAATTCCTGCAATGCTTCTTTAAATAGACCTAGTCAGGAAATATATTCATACTTGTTATTTTGATAGAGAAGGTATCATAAAGGTAGTAAAATAGACATAAGCTTGAGGAATAAAAATAATTATCAGGAACATTACAAGAACACCACAGTAGTAACAGACTGAAAAACAAAACAGCATAGGAGGGGGGAAAAGATGGTGGCATGAGAAGTGAGACATAAACCTCCTCCCAAAACTACATATAACATGAAAATACAGCAAATACAACTAATCCTGAAAGAGTGACTTGAAGACTGCAGGAGATGGCCTACATCTGGGGAAAAGAGAAGAATTCAAAGAAGAAGGTAAAGTAGCAAAGTCATGATTCAGTATGATCCAAGCCTTCCTCCAACCCCAGTTCACAGGCAGGAAGAAGAGAAATGGAGCAGGGAGGGAGTATAAGCCCCGGACTGCTAAACACCCACCCCTGGAGATCTGCTCTGGGAGCATGAACCCACATTACATGGTGCTCTGGAGATTAGAGGAGTTGGAAAGCAAAGACAGGAAGAATACTCAGACTGAAATTCCAGCCTCTTGTGGAGAACAGGTACCCACAACTAGCTGCTCTGAAAATAAAGAAAAGTGGGCACTTTGAAAGACTTCCCATCAGTGAGAGGGGTGCTAAATGGGCAAGGATTATACAGAATTTGCTGCTTAGGAGAAAGGCCAGATGGACAAAATCATCCCGGTGCACTCAGCCCAGCAGGTTGGGAACTTTCAGGAGCTTCAGATGCTCCATCCCACTAGCTAGCAATGCAGCGCTGAGGCCCCAACTGCAATATACATCCTGTCACTCCTTCCTCCCAGCAGGCACTGGTCTGCTTGCCTGATGCCCTCACAACTGCACCAGGCCAGCTGGAGGGCAGCCCTGCCTCCGGCAGCTGCAGGGGCATAATGCAGAGGCTCCTCCTTTGTACTCAGCCCACTGGACCTGGAAGTGGAGGTAAGCACTGCAACCAGAAAGCAGGAAAGAGCTCTTTCCTCCGGGCAGGCACTGGGACTGCTCACATGTGACCCCCGCCATTGCTCCAGGTGCTGGGCAACCCTAGAGGGTAGAGGTTCTGGCACTAGAGGGTGCTGCCTACACAAAGTTATTATTCCATAGTAACCATTAGAAATATGAAACAGAAAAAAAACTTTGCACAAACAAAATCCCACAAGCACCAGAAGGGGGCTAAGTGAAACTGAAATCACCAATCTTTTCAACAAAGATTTCAAAATAAAATTACAAACATGCTCAAGGACCTACAGGAAAATATCACAGGGAGGAGTTCAAGAAAGAAGTGGAAACTTTGAAAAATACAGTATCTGAAATGAAACATACAATGGAGGGACTTAAAAGTAGATTAGATGAGGTAGAGGACACAGTAAATGAAATAGAAATTAGAGAACAGGAAAACAAAGAAGCTGAGGCACAGAGAGAAAAAAGGATCTGTAGGAATGATAGAATAATAAGAGAATTGTGGGACCAATCCAAACAGAACAACATTTGCATGATAGGGTTACCAGAAGAAGAGAGAGAAAAAAGGGAAAGAAAGTCTCTTTGAGGAAATGGAAGATTTCCCCAATCTGGGGAAGGAAATAGTCTCTCAGGCTATGAAAGTACAGAGATCTCTAAACACAAGGAACCCTAGGAAGACAACACCAAGACATATAATAATTATAATAGCAACAATCAAGGACAAGGAGAGAGTATCGAAAGCAGCCAAAGAGAGAAAAAAGATCACATACAAAGGAAAACCCAACAGGCTATCATCAGACTTCTCCACAGAAACCTTACAAGCTAGAAGGGAGTGGCAAGATATATTTAATGCAATGAAACAGAAGGACATCCAACCAAGAATACTCTGCCTGACAAGATTATCATTTGAATTTGAAGGAGGGATTAAACAATTTCCAGAAAAGCAAAAGTTCAGGGAAATATACCTCCCACAAACTATCTCTACAGTGTATTTTAAAGGGACTGCTCTAGATGGAAGTGCTCTTAAGGCTAAACAGCTGTCACCAGAGAAAATAAACCACAGTGAAGGAAGTAGATTACTCAATTACTAAGGAAATGCAGTAAATCACCTACCCAC